TTCAGTCGAGTCATTTTCAGTTGTAGCAATGTAATAGATGTCTTCTCCATTTTGACACCATTGAAAGTGTGAATAGAATGAACTGATCACATTTCTACTTTGTCTTAGATATCTCAAAGTACCTAGAAACTCATCTGACATATATATCAAAGTAAAAACAATACCAGAGAGTTTCAATCAGAATAAGAAGAAGAAAGAAAAGTCAAAATAAGTGTAAACACAAGAATGAGTCTGCTGAGGAGACATTGATTGGTTAGAGTATTACTTTCCTGCTTTAATGAAACTTTCCTTTACATAATTTGTTGCAAAACATGTAAAAATACTTAAACTAATTTCTTTTCCTTAGTCTTACCGTCACAGCATGTACTCACCATTTGAAACAGAGGCATGGAAGTAACACTGAGAAGGAAAACTGTTCTTTCTTCCTCTTTCATGGGATGTTTTTAAGCTGTTTGGTATTCCTTTGAAGACTAGAGCACCAGTTTACATGCTGGGTATTTATCACTGGTGTGGAGGGTGAAACACTAACTGCACACCATACTCCCTGCCCTTTTAAAATATTGATGAGTAACCATCTATGCAGCCTCATAAAGTATTAACTCTTTAAGTGGGGAAGATCTCTGCTTAACAGCATGGCACAAGCTCTATGTGATTTAAATGCCACACAACCCAAAGAGTTTCAAGCTGCTTATGTTAGTTCAATATCCAATATTAACACCTGGTTTTGAACTTCAAGTAACCAATATTGCTCTATTGATCCAGCAGGACAGGTATGTAAGTTCAGTCTTCATGACTGATGTGGGGATATTCATGAATGAAGTTCACAGCTTGAACTTCAATGCTTAATCCTTTTATTGGCTTCCTACTCTTTTCAGCTTCCATTTTATGTACTGCTTATCAGGTTTCCTCGTGTTGGAACAACAGTTGCATCTCCTGAATTGCCACACCTGAATTTGAAGATAATGGGCTGCATTTCCCTGAATATTGTCCACTAGGAAGTCAGTGTGTGAAAGTGTCAGATTGAGGCTGACTCATTTATTTTTTTAAATACATACTCCAGATACCATATATATTTGGAGACTTAATTTATCTTTTTCCTTCAATTTTTTTAGCTGCTCAAATTACCAAGCTGACCTGAATGTGAGCAATTTCTTTGACCTATGAATTCGTGGTTCAGAGGAAAATTTTGAATACTTCCAATCATGTGTGATTACAGAACAACACAATTATAGCTGTATTTTAGCAAATACAGTAGACAGAAATGGGAAAATTGTGGGGAAAAAAATTGATCTTCAAAGAAATCCATCAATATTTTCAAACAAGTAACTTTTACTGACAGATGGCCTGCTGTGATAGGGGTAGGACTTGATAAACCCTTCTGAAGTATATGAGAAATCCTGAAAGACTTCTAACATATTGACATGGAACTCTAATAGCTTGAAGATCAGCAGTGCTAATCTACCTTAGTGGCACTAGCTCAAACATTGTAGATGCTCATGTGTCTTCTAAAACTTGAATTGCTAAAGGAATTTTCAAAGATAATCCTATTTCCTAGGAATACCCCAGCCATTGCTCACAGAAGATGGATAACAACTTGATTCATAACTAAAGAAATGAGCAGAAGTGGGTTCTTTCCTCTTCATATACAAATGCCAGTAAGATAAAACAAGAATAAAGTTAATAATAAAGAATTATGTGCCAGCTACACTAAAACACAAAGAAATCATGCCATGTGTAGGATTCCTTTCTTTGGACACATATTTATTCAAATTTTAGTTTTCTTTACAAAATTCCAAGGTACATTTAGATAAAACAAATCAGGAATATGATCTCTACTTCCACTAGATTTCTGCTTATATTGCTAAGTTAGTGGTTAAATAAATATGCAATATGTCTTTAATTGCTACCACCCAGAAGAAATTTTCCCTCAGGATTCATTAACTAATGAATTCCTCCCTTGCTCAGTTGTAAATTTACAAAAGGTTTTGGCAAACTAGTAATTTGCTCTCTTGGAAACCAGACGTAAATGTCCCAAACAGGTGGGAGCCAGAACTACAACTACATAAATGTAAAAAATTTAGCAATTGCAATTGTGTGCTACCCTCCTAAAGTCATTCTCCTGGTAAACTTTAAAGTATCCGCTCGAGTCATACTGAGGTGTGAAGTAAATGCTTTCAAGAGCCAATAAATTAGTTTAATAAATTAATTATTAGTTCTGCAAGATTCTTAGCCACTCAGGCTCTAGGGTTTTTAGCACAGTAGCAGTACATGCAGTACCACAGGATGGTTCTTTGAACAGCCAGGGCGTGCTCACCTGCAGCTATGCTCCTAACCCACAGGAAAAGGTGGTGGGAGGCTTTAGCATGTGTTTAAGAGTGAGCTGCTTGCCTGCAACAGAGGTGTGTGACTAACACAAGAGTCATCCTTCCAAATTTCAGCTACTTGGCGGCAGCCTGAAGCTCTGACTCTCAAACTCAGCTCTAGTCAGAAGTTGCTGTACCTGCTCTCTGTCATCTTCTAAGTGCACTCTGGAGGGTGAGAGATGAAACTCATTTCTGGACTTTAATATGAGCAGGGATTATGTGCCACCAATGTCTATGATTACACTGGACTAGATGAAGCTTGCAGCTATTAGTTCTACATCATTTTTTTCAAAATTGCTTTTCTGCTGAAGTGTTTTCAAAGGCATTTTGAAGGTTGCTATCCTCCATGTTGGTTCTGTTTGTATATTTGGAGTTCATAATAGGTGGAGAATTTTGCCAGAGAAAAAAAATGTCAAGTTTGAAGTGTTTTGCCACAGAAAAAAGTTGTTGTGGGCTAATTAGATACTGCACAAACAGTTTTGCAGTAAATGCAGCAGACATGAACTTGTTAACATGTTAACATTAACTTGTTAGGAGTTATCTTAGAAAATAAAAAAACAACCCCAAGCATAAACAGTATCTTTATGAAATCACAGAATTTTTTCCATCCTCCTGTTTTCTTGGACCAAAAAAGAAAGCTTATTACCCCAGTAATCAGAAGGCTCTTTTGACTCTATCTATTGCAATGACAATACATCATGCTATCTGATCATATTTGCAGCTCTAAAATGTGAATACACAGATTATTTGTTTGCTAAGAATATCTCTATCTGAGTAATGGAATCAACTGCATGGTCATAGCTTTTGCATATTCCAGTGTATTTCTTCAGATGCTCAAAAGACTGAAAAAAATTGGTGATGATAATGTTTGATCATAAACTAGTTTGCAGCCTATTTGTTCTCCTGCCAGATGTGCCCAATTCCTGCTGTCATCCTTGGAAGCACACGGGTGCACAAACAGCGAGAGGGAACCCTCTGAGCAGCTCTCCACTTTCTCAGAGTTTTGGATCCATGCCAGCCTGTTTTGGGAACAGCATTTGCGACCCAGCGGGAGAGTCCCTCAAGCACCATTGTCACCAAGTGGCACATGGAGCTCCTGAGCCACTCTGGCACAGGGTGAGGATCCCAGCTGGGATCACGGGGAGCACACAGCCCACCAGGCCCCGTGCACAGCCCACAACACTCGAGCAGCTGGTGCTGGCAGGGCAGTGAAGCCTGCAGCTACTTTTGGGACCTCACTAGGGGCAAAGCTTTCCACTGCCCATATAACACTTCAGTAATTCCAGAGAAATGGACTTGGGGGGGGGGGGGGGGGGGAATTTAGGTACCATATCCTTTTAGAGCCTAGGCTTATACCAATAATCCATTTACTTTTCATTTTCCATGAACCAGGGAAACTCCAGTAGCGCTAAATGGGTACAGTGAATATTGTATGCTCTATTACTGGAAAAGCTCCTCTCTTTTAAAGAGGTTGTATCACACAGGGCATACCTCAACTCTCCTCCTTGGAGTACAGCTTCTAAAAAAACATATAAAATAAAGAAGTCCAAAGCCCGCGTCAAAACTCTACCCACACAGACAGATAATTTGAACTCTCCGGAAAGTGGAAAGCTGTAACTGCAGAATAATGTAGCAATCTTTCTACATTAGACCCAGGCAGCCACTGCCTTTAAACTCAGGCCATCACAAGAGCTTCCCTGTCAAGCAGCTGTTTTGCTCACACCTCTTGAGGCTTTACCCACCTGTAAGCTCCTAGTGACAAGAACCTCCCTATTTTTACATGTGTACACAGCATCACTATGAAGCTCACAGAAAGATCCGTCAGGTGCTATCATGGTATCAATCATAAGTGACAGAGGATCAGTGAAAGCATATTATCCAAGTCAGCTGCAAGGAACTTTGATTATGTAAGCTTACTACTTTGCCTTTTGCCTCTCTGTCTTCCAAGTAACAGCCTGGAAGTCAGAAAAACTTTTCACATGCAAGTCAATTAAAAATTCAGAGGCCATGCCATTTGAGCTGAAAGTTGATTTTCCGTAAGGTAAATTGAACCACATTGAAAAACTCACAAACAGAAAAAAGGCTGTGAAAACAAAAATCCTTTTCTTTGTAATGTACACGCGTTTTGATAAAGCTATGACTTATCTCCTGTTTTAAGAGACTCATTAAACAGTGAAAGTTCACTGATGAGTCTGCCAGAGAAGTAACACCAGGTGAAATACCCCAAGCCTCCAGACAAAATTATTTTCTCTGAACCTTTGAGGAAAATGAATTTTTCCAACAAAAACCCTTTAAGTGATCTGATACTTGGTGTGAAAATAGCTAACAATGCCCGTTGACAGCGATCCCCTCCCTGAGCCCCGTCACTAGCCCAGGATGTCACCGTAACAAGGAGAAGAAAACAGGCAAAAATCCAGCAACCCAAACATGTCAGAAGGCAGGTATTTTCCCAGCTCAGACTCCTGAGGTGACAGGCAGAATTCAGAAGCAGGAGTGTCGGAGCAGGCACCGCAGTCAGAGGTGGCTCATTGCACTCTGCCGCTGCTCCTGGCACAGGGCTCCGAATGAAAATCAAAGCAATACATCTCTTTTCAAAACAAAGAAAGAGGGGAAAAATAAATCTCATTCTCTGAGTACCTTTGATTCCTGGCTGGTAGTGGATGCTGGAGAGGGGGGCTGCTCCGTGCTCTCCACTTCATTCTCTTTCTCCACACTGTCCACGCTGACTTCAGCCGTGCTGCTCGGAGGAATCATTTTACCTCTAAAACACCGCTACTATCAGGGAAAAAAAAAAAAAAAAAAGCTACAGATGGTTCTTGCTCTTTTTCATTTAGCGTCCTCTTTCTTCTCCGCTCTTCTAGAGCAAATTAACTCCGACCGCTTGGTTTCACTATATTTGCCAGACTAGAATTCTCTGGATTTTCTTTTTTTTTCCCCCCCTTCTCCTCCTCCTCCTTCCCCTCCTTCCTCCCTCCCCTTTCCTATGCGATTGTGCTGCGAGGGAGTAAGTTATCGATGGTTCTGTAGGTCAGTTGTGTGCCTGCTTTCCCCCGGCACTCCTCCCCTCCATATGAAGCCGGGAGGTGTGGAGCAGCGTCGTGACCGCCAGCCCCACAATCAGAGGGGAGTGAGCTGAAGCAGCGAGCCCGAGCCACGCACACACAGACAGACACACAGACAGACACACAGACACACACACGCGCACGGCACTGGAGGGAGGAGTTGTGTTTCTAATGCTGTGAATAGCTCTGGAGGAGCATGTGCTGTCATAGTAGAAAGAAAGTAACGCGTGCATGCACATGCACACACACACACACACACAGAGGCAGGCAGTGTGTATGAAATTTGGAAATATTTTACCTTTTAACAGACTGGTGAAGACAGAGTTGAAGGGTACCCTTATATTCTTTCATGTCTTTTACTGAAGAAAAAGAAGCCCAGCAAAAGGGTTCTAGAAAAAGAAGGGGAAAATTAATCTTTTAACTTGTCCCAGAAAAGATTATTTTAAATCCTAGCTATTCAGTGTCTCTAAGGCTCCCACCTTGCCCACATACCACACTTGCTAGCAAATGACAAGACAGAGTCAGGGGAGAGTTACCTGTGGATCCACGTGTTCCTTGCTCCCCTCCCAGGCAGGGAAGCCCTGCTCTGAGGCATGCACACGCAATCTGGGTCATCTGGAGCTCCCACTATAATGCACATACTATACCTGTAGGTTGTCATAGTGACAACACTCCATCAGGCAGCAGCAGAGCAGAGGCAGCCATTGGGAAGAGCCTGTTGGCTTCCCCCATGCCGTCATTCCTGAGGATGCAGCACCTGAAGTCACGCTTGGGTCTGCAGTACTGCTGGCAGAAGGTCAGCGTGACTTTGCTGTCTGCCTCAAATTGCTTTATATTGCTTGAGGTTTGGCCTCTGATTTAAATCTGCTGCAAAGGTGCTTGTCAGCTCTCTTCCCTGCTGAATTGAGGTCTGTATTGTGAAGGGTTGAATGGATCTGCTTCCCACCAGATACGCTTTGCTGAGCGGGTGCCACTCCATATGGCTGGTGGAGATGACTCTTTCATTTAAAGAAAACAGAAAAAAGCAACCCAAATATGCTTCCAATAGCAAAACTTACATCCTGGAAAGTGAGAAAAAACCCAGTTGTTCAGTGGATCAGTACAGGTGTTTGGAGGTGATTTGATGGGGTCTAAGTCAGAGATGTGCCTTGTGGCTCTGGGAGAGGACACCAGATTCCCCTCTGGACCCATCCCTTAGAAACACAATTGCTACTTGGAGCTGCCTTGCAGGCCCCCTTCACCTCAAATAATCAGTGTGTGGAAGTTAAAGCAAGTTTACAAGATAGTAGGGGTTTTACAGATGAAAGCCAGAGCAGAAATTGCCCTGCAGCCTCTGTATTCTTAATAACTATGCAGAAGTCAGGAAAAAAAAAATAAAAATCAGCTTCTCTTTGAATCCCCAGTGAATCTTTAGGACTAGAACTTAGATGGGGAAAAGGTCTTTATGTTTTTGAAATAGAGCATATAAGATACCAAAATCCTTAGCAGACAATAAAGATGAAATGCTGCAATGCTATTTGTACAGCTGCTTCAGAGCAAAAGAGTGTCTTAAGGGTCTGCCAGTAGAACCCATTATTTGGCCTGTAGTCACTAACACGATTACAGGGATCAAAAAGAGAATACTGTTTGCTCTTGAGGCAGTGGCAGTAACAACAGAGATTGAAGCAAGGAAATACACAGCTCAGAGGGGCAGATTTGGCAGGTAAGTAGAAGAATTTATTTCCAAGGGCTTGCTTTCTAAAATGCAGCAGTGTCTTAGACCATCCCCTTCAGTGCTGGAGGATTTCTCCAGGTGCAAAGGTAATTTCTTCACTCAGCAAATAAGATTTGGGCTTTGCTGTAAAATCATCCTCTTAGCAATGAGCAGTGACTCATTAGAGCCACAGTTTTGGAGAATTAGGGCAGCTGTGGGCAACAGAGATCTTGGCAGAGCAACAGCAATTGAAGGCTCCAGCCCTGGCAGTACATCCTTCCCTAATGGTCCAGCCTAGAACAGCCCAGCCATGGCCAGCACATGGGGTTGCCCCCTGCAAGGACTGTTCTGAGTGCCCAGCAACCTGACAGGTGAGAATCAGAAAACTGAATTCTGCCTGGTTCCCCACAAGTGTTGTGATCTGCTCTTTCCTGCTAAGAGGCTCAAAAACATCTTATGGTGAACTTGCAGGTTGCCTTTGAAATGGGTGTGGAGTGGCTGGTTAATAGTTAATTCTCTGAGTGTTGTAAAATCCTGCACACATTTTGTATGAAGAGCTTGTAACGTCATGATTGTGTAAGTGACTATCATACCACTCTTTACTTTAATTGTTTTACCAAATTAGTACTAACACCTGCTGCACTCCTTCTCTTCCCCCAATTACTCACTTGTCAACCACGATGGATTTGTCAGTTTCTTGACAATTAGCTTGGGAAGGATGAGTCAAACCTAAAATTTTACCAAAAATGCAAAAAGGAAAGGAAACTGGATTTGTTACATTTTTATATCCTTCCACGGGAGCTGGCTAGGGAAGATCTAATATACAGTATAACAAAACAGACTGATCAAGTTAGAGGAACCAACATCTCTCACCCACATTTCACTCCTGAGAAGTTGGACTTGTGATTACTGCCGATCAGTCTCTATGTGGAGGGGCTCAGAGGAAATGGGAGCACTGCAGCTCTGTGCTAAACAAGAGGAAATTGAACAGCTTCTCTAGTGTAGAGAGGAGTGTAGATTTCTGGAGTGGGGAAAAGCAATTTGGATGAATAAAACATGAGCGCCAGTTCCCAGTCCCCAGCTGAAGTTTGGCTGTGTAAAGGCTGTTGTGTGTTGCCTGGAGTCCCTGCCAAGCATTCCTGATGCTGGCTGCATGGCTGCCGTGGTCTGACGTTGGCTGCATGGGTGCCATGTCTTGTCTGCCTTCACTCTCTGGTCCCACACACAAAGGTGACAGGGTGTGGTGTGGCACAGCCCTCTGTGCTGGGCAGCAGTTCTTCCTAAGCTCTGGCTGAAGCCAGCCTGATAAGAGCATCCCTAAGATTCCTGATTCCAGGAATACATACACATTTCCTGTTCTGCCAAGTCCTACCTGCTGGAGACCTCCAAAGTGACAAGATTAGGCTGGTGGGATCTGGCCCATGCCAGGGTTTTTGCCTCCCTTTTTTTTTTTTTTTTTTTTTCTTTGCTTTTTGGGTATGGACATTCCGTTGAAATATTTGAACACCTCTCTGCCAGTGATATGCATGCACAGTGCTGTATTTCACTAAAGGAATGATAAGAAATGAGTACTTACCAAATATTTTATTTCTGTTTAGACTCCCATGTTAGTAGAGAAAAGATAACAAGGAAAAAGGAAAGAGGGAGATATAATTGTCACTATTCAGAGCTTGGTGCATGAACCATCCCATGCTTCTGAGCTAAGAGGTCTAAGGGAGCACATAGAGATGATACTGCTTGTAGGTGGCACTGGTTCAAATTACTATGTACCACTCTCTAGAAGTTTACAAAGCTTTACAAGTGAGGAATCAGTCAGGTTGCTGCAGTCTGGATTCCTCTAAAGCAGACTCTTGAAAGAAATCAGAATCAAGTCTACAGAATCCAGCTTCCAAGAGGATGCAGACTGAGAGCCGCAGAAACCGTCAGACACAAAAAGAAATGTTGTCCTAGTAGCACTTGAAGTGAAACTTGATCAGCCTCACCTCAAGCCCCTCAGTCCAATTTGTGAGCATTCCAGGTGAGAAATAGTTTTCTTTCTTGAGTATTCCAGATGAGAAGTAGTTGTTTTTCTTTGTCAAATAGAAACTGACGACAGGATACTCTGTGCCATCTCTGATGCAAATTTTACTTTTGGCATGGTGCTTTTGGCCAGGTGTACTGGTTGATATCTTTACTGGACCCTTCTCTCAAACATCTGCTTCACCCACAGCTGGCTACTAGACTGCAAGGACCATTGCTCAGAGTATCCTTCTGTGTTTCCAAGTGACAGGCTAGCGGGCTCTCCTCCCCAGCAAACACTGTATCTGCAAAGAAAACAAGATTAAAATAGTATCACGTGGCTGGGTTTTTTTGTTTATAATCACTCATCCCTTGTTTGCTTACTATACAATCTTGGCAGTTCACTGAGCAGCTAACATACTAAAAAATCCCTGTGGATTCTGCTTATCTAAATGCCATCTGAGGGCTACAATCATCAGCTCATCAAGCTGGAAGCAAAAGCTGGTCAATGCTCTGAAAGCATTCCCAGTACTAATGGAACACTGGTGGCCTGCATTTTGACTAAATAATCTCAAAGTATTTTTTAGAGGTAAAGTATTAAGCCTCCCACTGCTCCAGGGAGTGGAGCAAATGAGTAACTGTGGAGGAAGCCAAACCAACAGATTTGTGCTTGTACTTAAGCGGGAAAAAACCCAGAACCTCTGCCTGAGTATTAATTCCAAAGCCCTCTTTCTCTCCATCCACAACAATGCCACAGGGAGTGATGAAGAGATCATGCTGCATCTTGGGCAACATGAATATTTCTTTCAGGGAGGTCATTATGAGATTGAAACACTGCTACACAGACATCTAGACCAGGAAAACGAAGAGCGCTGCATCCTCTTGTGACAGCGAGAAATGTTTGAGAAGGGGAGAAGAGGATGTAATTATAAAAGGTGGAATTTAGCCAAGATACAGCATGTAATATGTTCAGTCTTACAAAAAGCATGGCAATACCTTTAAATAACCAGCGACAGTCCCGACCTGATTTTACATCTCTGCTGGCAATAAGATTCCTTCTCACTTTTTATAGGAATGCGATATAAAAAGAAGAATCAGTAGCAACATTTCCTGCAACGCACAGATGCTCCTAGAAATTCCTGCCTTTTAATAGCCATTTACTGATTTGGTCCAATATGA